AGGTTGTGCTGGTACCCCGCGATCACCGCCTAGCTGCAGGGGCATCCATCCGCCATAAACCCCTGAGTTTGTCCCCACATGCTCAACACTTTAGCGGCGAACTTGGTCTTGGGGCCACCTTGCCATAAGGGACCTCACGCGATTGCAACTCCACATTCAATGCCCAGATGAAGCTCATTCTTTCTTGTCCTCCCCTCTCCTTACCTTCGACTTTCCTTATCTGAGCTCAACTTGTTTTCTCAATAAGGCTCGATCTTCTAAAAGAAACACAACCTCCTTGTTCTTAGGTACGTGTGAGATATCTTCTTAACCCATAACATCACCGCCACCTGGCGATGGCAACGCTCAAGGGAGCTTGAAACTCAATTGAAGCTCTGCTTAGCTTGGTCTTTCATTCAGACATTTCTTGGATCGCGAGAGCTTCCACCGCAACAGTCCCCACCGTCTTTTTTCCAGTGTTCTTCCCGTGTCTTGTCAAAATCGCTGTTGCACTTGAATTCTCAGCATTCGACTAACATGAGCTGGAATCAAACAGGTCTATCCGCGTCGTCCTTCTGTATCCGCTACAATGTCCAAATCTTTTTTCGGCGATGTCAAGAGCGTGCTTAGTGGCGACACGCTGATACTGACAAGCACCAAGAACCCCAACAATGAACGCACCCTGTCTCTCGCCTATGTCACGGCCCCTCACTTGAAGCGCGAGGGTGACGAGCCTTTCGCCTTCCAGTCTCGCGAGTATCTTCGAGACCTCGTCATCGGAAAGCGCGTTCAAGCAACCGTTCTGTACACAATCCCTACTTCCGGCCGAGAATTTGGTACTGCTCGACTTCATGATGGAACCATTCTGCCTGATGAGCTTGTTAAAGCTGGCTGGCTGAAGGTCCGCGATGATGCTGGTCGGAAGGAGGAGTCGGACGAGGTGCTTGACCGTCTTGAGACACTTCGCCAGCTCGAAAACAAGGCCAAGGCTGAGGACAAGGGACTCCACGTCGGGGTTGGTGGTATTATCGAGGTTCAAAATGATCTTGGTGGCCCTGAATTCTTGAAGGAGTGGAAAGGCAAGACAGTGGATGGTATTGTTGAGCGAGTTCTTAGTGGCGACCGCGTATTACTGCGGCTCTTGCTCTCCGAGAAGAAGCACGTTCAGCCCATGACACTGATTGCAGGTATCCGAACGCCTGCCACCGAGCGTACACTTCCCTCTACTGGTACCACTCAGCCAGCCGAGGAATATGGAAATGAGGCTAGATCGTTTGTTGAGTCGAGGCTGCTCCAGCGTCGGATTAAGGTTGAGATCGTTGGTGCTAGCGCTCAAGGGCAGCTTGTTGCCTCCCTTATCCACCCCAATGGAAATATCGCCGAGTTTCTACTCCATGAAGGTCTTGCACGATGCAACGACTTCCATTCTATTATGTTGGGTGAAAAAATGGCTGCCCTCCGTGCTGCTGAGAAGCAGGCGCAGTCCAAGAAGCTCCGGCTTCACAAACACCATGTCGCTAAGACTGAGAGCGGAAACCAGGATGCAATTGTATCCAAGGTCATTGGTGCCGATACCATTCTCGTAAGAAATAAGGCCGGAACAACAGAGAAGCGCATCAATATCAGCAGTGTCCGAGGGCCCCGCACTACAGAGCCTTCAGAAAGTCCTTTCCGGGAAGAAGCCAAGGAGTTTCTTCGTCAAAAGCTGATTGGAAAGCATGTGAGAATCAGCATTGATGGTAACAAACCCGCAACAGAAGGATATGAGGCTCGTGAAGTTGCCACTGTCACCGAAAAGAATACCAATATCAACCTTCTCCTGGTTGAGAACGGATGGGCGTCAGTCATCCGACATCGAAAGGATGACACTGACCGCGCCCCTAATTATGACGACCTCCTCGCTGCCCAAGAGAAGGCTAAAGAGGAGAAGAAGGGTATGTGGTCAGGCAAGCCTCAGAAAGCAAAGCAGTACACCGACCTCTCCGAGAACACACAGAAGGCCAAAATTATGCTCGCTACCCTACAACGACAAAAGAAGGTACCCGCTATTGTCGATTTCTGCAAAGCCGGTTCTAGGTTCACTATCTTGATTCCACGAGAGAATATAAAACTCACAATGGTTCTGGGTGGAATCCGCGCCCCTCGAGCTCCCAGGGCCGATGGCGAAGGTGGTGAGCCTTTCGGCAAGGAGTCTCTCGATCTTGCCAATCGTCGATGTAACCAGCGCGACTGTGAGGTAGATATCCATGACATGGACAAGGTTGGTGGCTTCATCGGTGACCTCTATATCAACCGAGAAAACTTCGCCAAGGTCTTGGTTGAAGAAGGTCTCGCATCTGTCCACGCTTATTCTGCCGAAAAGTCTGGTAACGCTGCTGAGCTATTCACCGCCGAGAAGAAGGCCAAGGAGGCTCGTAAGAACTTATGGCAGGATTGGGACCCCTCACAGGAAGAGGAGTATGGCGATGAGGACAATGCTGAAATTGCCCCTGAAACCGAAGTCTCTATCGACAAGAAGCCCACCGACTACCGCGATGTTATTATCACCAATGTTGACGCTAACGGTAAACTCAAGATCCAAGAGATTGGCAAGGGAACAGCCGCTCTTGAGAGCTTGATGAGCGAATTCCGAAGATTCCACCTTGATTCCAAAAACAACAACCCTCTCAAGGATGCTCCAAAGACCGGAGAGTACGTCTCAGCCAAATTCTCTGCTGATGGTCAGTGGTACCGAGCCCGCGTGAGGGCCAATGACCGCAGTGCCAAGAAGTCTGAAGTTGTTTATATCGATTACGGCAACAGTGAGAAGGTCCCCTGGTCTAGTCTTCGAGGACTGGATCAACCCAAGTTTGGTGCGCAGAAGTTGAAGGCTCAAGCCATTGATGCCTCTCTCTCATTCGTGCAACTTCCTACCGGCGCCGATTATTTCCAAGATGCCATCGATTTCATCTACGAACTCACTGAGAATAAGCGACTTGTCGCCAACTTCGACTTTGTTGACAACAGGGAGAATCTGAGCTATGTCACATTGTATGACACTGGGACCTCAGGAGAACTTCCCGGACCCAATGACTCCATCAATAAGGAAGTTGTTGCCGGTGGGTACGGCATGGTTCCTAAGAAGCTCAAGACTTGGGAACGTAGTAAGGCTTTTGAGTCTACCCTCAAGCACCTGAAGGAGGTTGAGAGCCAGGCAAAGGACCAGCGCCTGGGTATGTGGGAATATGGAGATATCACTGAAGACTAAGCAGCCCCCGGTTTCAAGGTTGGCGTTGGCGATGATTATGGAGCAAAGGTCTTGGTTACAAATATGTTACAAATGGGGTGACAGATGTAGCTTCGAGCACGAAAAATAGCGAAGAGAATGGTGTCTTGGGGTAGTCATGGGATTTGCAGTCGCTATCTATGTACTACTAGTTACAAGCATGAGAAACAAAAGTCGTTACTGGATGCTTCATGAATGACAGCTTCTAGCAAATTTGGTTTGATCTTCCGACAGGTGAATAACATTAACACAAGCACTTGCTGCGCGATGAGTGAATTTAACGCTAAATAGCATCGAGTTTAGCTCATGTCTAAATAAGCATGCTGAGCAATAAATATCAGCTAATGTCAACATTTGTAGGGCCAGAGTTGGATCGATTTTGTTGAAGTACTGCGCCTGTTATTCGCGCGGACTTGAGCAGAAGTCGCAATCAGAATTATGGGGCCGGGCGTGATCGATGTCTCACTGAAACGCCATGTTATCGGTTTGCTGTCTACCGAAGTGCTCACTCATACGGGAGTTCCGGTATCATCGGGATTCTCCCCGCCGAGCACATGCAACCTTTTCACCACGTCCACGTGCTGCGAAGAGTGATTTAACGGGTGCTATGGAAAGAGAAGCATCTAATACAATGCGACGGATGCAACTGATCTGCCGCAACAATGATCTGAGGGCGCGATTTTTGGTGACATGGTGTTCAAAGTGACCAGACACAACAGCGGATAATGCCCAAAAACGCTGATACTGAGAGTGAATGGCACGGCCCAGTTGCAGGCAAAAGTAAGCGGCTAAATAAGTAGGTAACTATGTAGAACTTGCAAACCAGCGTGTCAGGCCCGCCATGCAGGCACCTTCGCTACCACTGTGCAGTACATACTTCTCCACGGCATTCTTTGTCCACAAGGCATGGACGCTGCCGACATCATTGAGGGTCTCGGTGGACTAGGCGAGGTCTCGACGGGCGAGGTCTCGACGGGCGACTGGAGCAACTGAGCTCTAAGCGGGTGGGGGTTTGAATGTCCGCCTTGTCCGCTAGGCGTGAGGTGAGAGTAAGGTAGAAGCGTTGGGGGTGAGCGGCGGTAGCGATTACCAAGACAAGCGAAGGATACGTCGCTTTGCCGATATTGTCAGTACCTAAGTACCTATCTAGGTATCTATCTGGAATTTCTACCAGTGACGAGGAATTTTGCATAGAATGACTGATACCGATGCCTAAGGTAAGGTACCTAAGGTAGGTTCATAGCCAAAGTACATACATTGATGAGTAATGTCATTACGAGATACCGGAAAGGCCAAGTCAGCACCACAGCATACACAACACTCTTCTTCAGATTGCATAGAGTTCTCAGCGTTCCTGGCTGGCGCGGCTGTAAACGAGAGCCTTTAGCTAGACCATCTGTAGGTGAAGCAGTTGAGGTGAGAGCCCCAGTCAAGGTACCTACCTACCTAAGCACGATCCAGTCCTTACCTAGGTGGGGCAGTCGACGTAGCTACAGAGGAGGGGTGAAGTCAGAGAGTCCGAGTTGAGAGGGTGAGGGGCGAACGACGAACAGTAAAGAAGACGCCAGTCGTCGTGTGTACGTCAGGTCCCTTCCCGACTTTCGGTGGAATCCCCAATCTTTTTTCTTGTTGTACCCTCGCCTTCCTCTTCTTCCATTCCTCCTCTCTTCTCTTCTTTTCTTTCCATCTCACTTTCTCATCTCTTCAACGAAACTAGGTACCTAACTACTCGTGATACGAATCAATACCATTCATCATGTCTTCCTCTCTCGAACAGCTCAAGGCCACCGGCACTGTATGTCACCCCACCATTACCCCTCCAACTCGTCTTTCAGCGCGAACAAGAGCGAGCATGGCATCATGTTCGAGCTTCATAACAACACCTCTGATTAATTGGGCTTGCCAATTCCCCATTCTTGGTCATCCTTGGGATCAGACGTTGTTTTCGCCTCTCCGTGTCTATGTCTCTCATGAGAAATTGATTGCTGACCATTTGTTTGTTTCAACCTCGATAGACTGTTGTGTCCGACTCTGGTAATTACCGCACCTCCTGGGCTCGATCAAGTACTTTACTAACTTCTTACTCTTAGGTGATTTTGTCTGTTAGTATACACCCCTATCATAATGCGCCCCGAGCCCACGACTCCTGCTATCCTAACCAAGAGTTCCAACTTCGCCCACATGGCATAAGGAGTCATGATCGCCATGATGTGACATGACAAGATATGAGAGAATGAACAGCAGCTAACACTCCAGCAGCCATTGGCAAATACAAGCCTCAGGATGCCACCACCAACCCTTCTCTCATTCTCGCTGCCTCCAAGAAGGCCGAGTACGCCAAGTTGATCGATGTCGCCGTCGACTATGCTAAGCAGAAGGGTGGCCCTATCGACCAACAGGTCGATGATGCTCTCGACCGCCTTCTTGTCGAGTTTGGCAAGGAGATCCTCAAGATCATTCCCGGCAAGGTCTCAACTGAGGTCGATGCCCTATACTCTTTCGACACCAAGGCTTCCGTCAACAAGGCCCTTCACCTCATTGAGGTAAGCCACCATAGTAACAGGCTACCACTCTAGACAAAATGCTAACGTAGATTTAAAGCTTTACGGTGAACAGGGCATTTCCAAGGATCGCATCCTGATCAAGATCGCCGCCACCTGGGAGGGCATCAAGGCTGCTGAGATTCTCCAGCGCGACCACGGCATCAACACCAACCTCACCCTCATGTTCTCTCTCGTCCAAGCTATTGGTGCCGCCGAGGCCGGCGCCTACCTCATCTCTCCCTTCGTCGGCCGAATTCTTGACTGGTTCAAGGCTTCTACCAAGAAGGAATACTCTAAGGAGGAGGACCCTGGTGTTCAGTCCGTCAAGACCATCTTCAACTACTACAAGAAGTACGGTTACAACACCATCGTCATGGGCGCATCTTTCCGAAACACTGGCGAAATCACTGAGCTTGCCGGTTGCGACTACTTGACCATCTCTGTATGCCACATTCAAACCTGTGTTGCGAATAAGAGCCAACGATGCTAATTTTTAATTTCTACAGCCTAACCTGCTCGAGGACCTCCTAAACTCGAATGAGCCTGTTCCCAAGAAGCTTGATGCTTCCCAGGCTTCTTCCCTAGACATCGAGAAGAAGTCCTACATCAATGATGAGGCTATCTTCCGCTTTGACTTCAACGAGGACCAGATGGCCGTTGAGAAGCTCCGAGAGGGTATCAGCAAGTTCGCTGCTGATGCTGTCACTCTCAAGGGCATCCTCAAGGAGAAGCTCGCCTAAATCTCTTGCATGTTTAATGATCTAAGAGAGAATGATTAAAAAGTTAAATGGGACAGTGTTAATGTGGGAATGCAGAAAGCACTGAAGCTGACTGCGAACAACGAACTATAATTTGTTCACGATCTTTGCTGGGGAGTTGTCGTTGCTTATACCACACATCTTCTATAATTCATATCCATCTAGTGTTCCTCAGCTTAAGGCGAAGTCATTGGCTGTAATTCGCCTCGTGGATGAGGTGCCCATTGAAACAGATAGTGGCCAAATGACGAAAATCGATGATATGAGCCTGAAAAGAAAAGCTGGCAGAATTATCCATCAAACATCGTGAACCGTAATCTTTTAGTTTACGTAAGAACTCCTGTCTATGTATCTTGACAAGAAAGGACCCATCATTGTCATTATCATGACCCGTAACGCCATCTACCTGAAATGCGTGAACCCGTCTGCCTGAGTATTGACCTAAAACCATCATTGTACAGCATGATATTGTATAATCGAAATTGTGAGGACCTCACCACCATCCCTTCTTGCACATGACCTGATGAGTTGAGTGTTTCCAGCCGCCTTCTTCCTTGGCCTGGATAACCAGGGCAGTTAGGGCGTTACCCTTGACGCAGCCAGAGTCGAGGCCGAAGGTGTATGAGTCCTCCTGATAGCCCATCTTAGCATCGTGGCCGTAGATGACAGAACGGCGGTCGGGTCCTCGCAATTTCTTTTGCTCGCTATTCCATAGGTCGGTCCATCGTTCACCTTCGTGGCCATCTATGGGGATCCATACATCGCGATCAGGGTTCGTGCGTTCGGCGGCGGCTTCATCGGTCGACAATACGGTACCTGCGGAATCGGCGGGAGCGGGTTCGGCGCGGGCAGCGTGAGCATGCGAGTCGGTGCCCTCTTCTCCGGGAACGAAACTGCGCTGTTGAAACTTTGCCTGCGCGTCCTCCTGCGCCGTGGCTAGCTCCTTTTGTCGCTGTTTCTCGGCCTGCTTTCGTTTCTTTTCGATCTCCTTACGACGGAATTCTTCGCGAGGAAACCGTAGGGTGCGCATGTTCATGACAGCCCAGGCGTCTTGTTGAGGGAGTGGGACGCCAGGGACGAGACCGGCGTGCACGAAGTAGAGGGCCATGGATTCCGTAGATATAATGACCGGTAGGTTTTTCAGCCACGTCATTTGCGCCTCGGAAAGACTGCGAGCTGTTTTCAAGTCCGCCTCCTCGCCCCTGTGCTTGGCGGCATCTTTGGTATCGAGGTAAGCGGCGACGCCCTGTTGAGAACTGAGGCCGCGCCATGCAAGAATGACGCGATCTTCGTGGTTGCCGCGGACCGCGCTGGCTTTGAGTTCCATAAGACGAGCTACCACCTCGGAAGACTTGGGGCCCTTGTTAATCATATCGCCCACTGCAATAACGTGGTCTGTCTTGGGGTTGAATTCGATCTTCTTGAGTAGTTTCTCGAAGGGGTCAAGCATGCCATGGATATCGCCAACCACGACCAACCTCCTTCCATTCTTTGCTGTAGGGACGTGTTCGCTGGGTAGATTCCTAATGAGGTCGATACCATCGTAGCGCGGTCTGTTATACATGCCATAAGACATGGGGTTATCGGCTCTAAGAAGTTCGACTTGCGGACGCAAAACTTCGTCCTCGACCTCTACGGGGCCGACGGTCAATGCTGCGAGACGCGAACAGCAATAAAAAATGCTAAATACGAAGAAGAAAGTCGAGAGAAGGACGAGTAGACGCCGCTGTGGTGCGGTGATCATGATGGCCATCGTCGGTGGCGGCACGAATCGGAGAGGAGAGATATAGATGCAACGATGCGAACTGAGGTCGAGGATGATAGTGAAGTTATGACGACAACGACAGCGGCGCCCGTCGTAGACCAGACCGCATTACTAAATCTGGCGAGGCGATGGTCAAGGCACTTGATTTGATTCGACTTGGCCTTGGCACAACTTAACTCGGCGCTGGGCAGGCGAATGAGTGGGTTGAGCTCAGGAGGAAAGCGAGAGATCCCAACCTAGGTAGGTATTGCGACACACAGATGTAACTGAGCGTCTCAGGCGGCTGTGGTGAGACCGTCCAAGAAGCGGGAGATAAGGTAAGGTAGTAAGGTTACCTACCCAATCTACTAAGGTAAAGGTAGTTAAGCTGAGGAGAATGGGGAAATGGTAGCAAATAGCACAGAGTATTAAACACCGAACAGTCCGTCAAGCCATAGCGAAGCGATTGAACCAAGAAGCCACTAATTTAATGATTCCTCCCAACCCAACCACTGCCTTTTTTTTTTCACTTCCTTTCCACAAGGATATGTTCCACCTTGCAACGCGTCTGGCGCTGAAAGGGGGGGGGATGTTCAAAGTGTGACGCAGGATACACGAGGATAACTTCCGTCTTGGGCCAGGTGCGAGCTCAGGTTATGGAAGGAGAAAACCATATCATAAGAACTACCTACCTACCTTACCTAGGTAGGTAAGGTAGATATGGTAGGTACCTACTCTTGATCAATTCTTGTCACTGACGACGGATGGGCTTTATGATTTCCTCGTCCAATTGCGCATGCTTTCGGGTTGTGGGGAGCGTGTCCGTCCCTCCCTAGGCCTGCCAGTTAGGTCTAGTAAATAAAGTGAGGTGAGGTGAGGTGAGATACAACCAGCTCCGAGTGGAAAACTTGAAACCCGACATGGGCCAGAAACTTTAATTTAGAACGCTAATAAGCATGAATTGACCACATTTGTCCAAGGCCATCGACGTCGATTGAGTGAGTTGTAAGCTGGGTTGGCAATGTGACTGGCTTGGTAAGTACGGATACATATTAACTTACCCACCTAGGTGGGGGACGTACTATGTAGGATGCAAGATACAGATATTGTACAAATGTTGGCAAAAGAGTAGAGCAAATCGCAGCCTTATAACACGGCAGAACGTGAGAATTTTACCCTCTTTCCCTTACTTCTTCTTCCTTCTGGGCATATCCAAAAGTCTTCGTCCGTTAACTTCGTTATGTAGAATTGTTTCAGCTCAGTCGGCTCAGCTCAACCTCAGCATTGCATTCCATCATCTTCGGGTTTTTGAGGACCATGGTGGTATCAAATACTGGTACGGGTAGATAGCCGTTACCATACCACACATGTCCCGTATCGAAACAGGCTTGATTCGGCCAGGCAATGACCTCCATCTCACTTCTTCTGTTGCTCCATGGCTGCCTGTTCTGCCTTCCACTTCTCATTCTCGACTTCTCTCCAATCTTGAGGGATGGGCTCGTTTCCGTCTGTCTTCTTGACGCCGCCTGCAAACGCCGGGCGTCCGGCGTAGAGTTGGTATCCTTGACCTTCCTCGGCCTGTTCCATCGTACGGTATGCCACGGGCATGTTGCCTCGAAATCTTTTACGCATGTCCACCATGCCACGCTTGCATTCGCCGAAGCCCTTCTTCAGCTGTCGGCACTTGAGCGGGAGGGTGTTGACGAGGGGCTCGCGGAGGCAGTCGGCGGCGCTGTTGCGCTCTACCATGACACAGTCGGATTCTTGGAGGCACTGCGCGAGTGCTTCGCCTGGGAAAGCATCGGGTGTTAGAATGATTGGTATGCAGGCTGTATGTCAGGGTCAGTGATTAGCTTACGCAGTTCTTTGCATGAGCTGGGCATCTTGGTTGGGAAGGCTTTGGCAATGGCACCACGGCTCAGATCATGTAGCTTTAGGGTCAACCCACGATGACGATGAGGCTTCAGAAGGGTCGTTTTGCGGTCGAGATATGATTGGTTGGCTGTGCGTCGGAAATAAGGCGGACGCGCTCCAATTTGTCATAACACAGCATCTTACTCTGTACTACGAATAACCTAGGTATTACAGAGCTCTGTACGGAGTAGTCTACCTAAGAGATACAAGGCATTTTGGCTAACTACCTTACTAACCTTGCTCACAGAGCCAAGTTGTAACGTAATTCGTATCTCCAAAGCCATCAGGGCATCGCAAGCCTGCCCAAATTTGAACTTCATATAGCTCCACGGGTCGTTACCTATAAACTTGCCATAATTATACTCTGCGTCCTCCAAAGCCGCCCGCAACCCTCACGTCGCTTATATCTGGGATTTTAGCCTCAGGCTCCTTCTCATCAATTGCTTGTCCAATTCTCCCCTTTTCAACCTTCACAGCCGCCCATCTCTGCTCCCTTCCCGACCTAGCTCCTGTATGGCCTTCCCAGACTCCCAGCTCATCCAACAACACCTCCACGACCCATACCAGCTCAATCTCGTCTCCGGGAAGTTGCCTCACTGCACCCTCAGCATCCCGCCTTGTCTTTGGGATCTTTGTGCATAATAAATGCAAGTCCAGTAGCTGCGTAAATATCAGACCGAAGTTTGGTTTCGTGCGCCGGGCACTGTAGCCGTTTAATGGTGGTGGGTTGAAGATAGATCGTAGTGTTGGATCAACTTGGCTTTGCTTCGCTGGTGACGCTGCGGTTGCGGTTGCGAGTGCTGGGCCCGAGGATACTGCTGATGTCGAGTTCAGTAGAAGGATAAGTGGCTTCGACGATAGATTGCGCGAGAGATCGCGGAGGTGTGAGCTCAAAAGCTGAAGCGCAGCATGGGCTGCTGACTTTTCGCGGTGAAAGAAAAGACCTGTCAGAAGAGATGAGAAATGCGTAATGACGATAACGTCTGGGTGCTGTTGCGTCGTATTACACGGCTCCTCTGCCACTGGCTGCGAAGCCTGTTGAATGGGGGAGAAAGCCACATCATCGTCATCCTGACTATCCTGGATCTCGTCATACTGATATCTTGTTGTATTTGTTACCTCCTGTTCCTGCACCGCACCATCCTTCTCTTCAACCACCTCGCAATCCAGATCAGCCAGTGCCTCCCATAGACCATCCATGTCGAATACACAAGACAGCATGACTTTTTCAAGACATTGTCTGAGCTTCATCCTTATAGTATCCTTTGTGCACCGTTTGGCCTCGAGTTCGGACTTCACCGTGTCCCTCAAGCCGGCCAGCATTACGCTTGCTGGCCTGGGGGTGATGAGCAGGCCACTTGTGACCGTGCCTTCACAAAGTGAATGTGCAAGTATCTGGAGACCAAGCTGATGCAGAAAATTAGTCGACGTTTCTTTCACTCAATTAACGACTTTATCTGATTGTTGATCTCACCTGAACCCCCAGCTCTTCATCTTCCGCGCTGATACCCACAACACTTCCGCGTTCAAAGCCCCCTAACATAACCTCCTCGTCAATGACTTCGCATCCTGTCTTGCAGGCTCCCAACAGTGCGATCGCATCGCGCCTTTTTAACTCTCTATCGACCAGTATTGCTGCAGGAATTGGTTCAAGCTGAAAGTGGGAGCTTGCCTGTGAGGGGGGGCTTTGTGGTTGGTTCATGGAGTAAGGTAGCTTGTGGTCTAGTGCTATATTTCCGGTTGGTGCTATGCAAGGTCCAAGTGCATTACTGCTGCTCATCATTTATATAAGGTACCTATGCTTCAAGATAGCCCCAAAGCGACAACAATCAGACTAGTTTTTAATACGGCCATAACAAATCACAAATTGCATACTATCCTTTGAAGTCTTGCTAGACATGGTATCAGGAGTATTGATTTACTCAAGGTTGAGAATGATATCATCTCTTCAAGTGTCTAAAAACTTATAAGGCAAATCAAGGTAGAACCAATCTTATTATTGTCACACGACAACATCGCATTTGAATTTGTTGATGTCATGATCAGACATCAAGTCCTGATATAAAACATACAAAAAAGGCTTCATGAAGACCTCCCAGATCTCGGTCGGCAGTCCCATGTCCTTTTTGGCATGGTGACGACTTGCAGACGACTCAAGCTCTTGAGGTTCCTGCTAAGTCAGACCTGACAGGTGTAAATCTCCAAAACAGAGCAAATGACCCGACCTTTGGGCTTGGTTTCCTATAACCCATGCTGCCCGCCCCATCCCAAACTCAACAAAAAGAAGATAATAAATAGAAACTTCATCGGTATCCGGAGAGACCAAACAGACCTTATCTCGTCGCATTTGTATACCGTTTTCTTGAATAATTGTGTGCCTGGCCAAGTCTCTTTGCTTGAATCTCTGCAGTATCGTAAAGCAATGGTTCAGATTCTTGTACCGTGCTTGAGGCATACTCGGCACACCTCTCTGCCTCTCTTGGCGCCGCATTTTCTTGATCTCGTGTTGGCAGACTATTAGCCCACGAAGTTTCGTTCGCGTGCTCATTCATATTCTCCGCAAGGCTGTCCTGCCTTGACTGCCATCGCTTTGGACTTCGACTTGAGTCAAGGAGTCGCCCGGCACCTGTCCTCCACTAAACGGCCGTTCCGGGCACACCGGGCCCGTTGCTAGGTATCTCTGGCCGAGGCTTCCGCCCCTTTAGGCTCTTCATTCGTCCCATAAGCCCGGTGGGCTTTGGTGGGGCATCGTCCAAGGTTGTAGCGGCATCAGTTGTCGCCCGTCGCTCCAGGACAGCTCCTGCAGAAGGGCGTCTCGCTCCAGGAGGGCTGTTGGATGCCATTGAGCCATCTCGCGGCCTTGCACTGAAGCCTTCTTCGCCTTTACCGAATTCTGCAAAGAAGGGATTGTTGTCTGAACCGGTGCTCGCTGCTGTTGGATAGGCATCGGGAGTGATTCTGGAATATTCGCCATTGGGACGCCCTGACTGACTGTAATCGCGGGGACCCTTGTTAATGTGGCGAATGCGCTGTGCAAGCGACTTCTTGCGCTGTAGTCCACCCTCCATGCTTTCCTGAGCCTGTTCAGCCTGGTGACGCTGAATAGCACTTCGCGCAGCGGGGGTCCCTTCCAAGAAAGTTGAGGTGCCGAGGCCAACAGACTCCTCTCCATGAACAATCTGGTCTCGACCTGAAGCATCAAAAATGGCGGGCTCCTTGCTGCGGGCTTTTGAAGGTGCAGAAAAATCTCTGAAAGCCTCATCTGTGGCATTTCCCATGAGAACTGAATGGTCAGCTCGAGCATTGAGCGGCCCAGCGCCTCCAAGAGAGTTGTTTAGTGAATCTTTGGGGAAGGCTTGCATCGGCGCACGTCTCGCGTTTTGGCGATTTCGGTGGGGATTCAGGGCGTCGAAGGGTCCATCATGATGGAACACTGTATTGTGTCAGCAACAATGAACTCTGGGATTAGGGAGGGGATGAACGTACGTCCAGTTCCATAAATGCTTGTGGCATCAAGTTGATCAATAATGTCCATCTTTCTGCTGGGACGACTGGGCTTCTCCCTATCTCCCCGCTCCCGACGATCGCGGTCGCTTCTATCACCGCGCTCCTTGCCCTCTCCACGACGCTGTCGTTCGTACTCACGTCGCCGAGCCGCCTCGATCATTCTTTTCTCCTCCTCTGTAATTGGACGCGCATCAAAATCGACCAAAGAGGACTCGGAATTTCGTCGAGGACGTCGTGGTGGGGCACGTCGTTGCGGTGAGCTCTGTTGCGGTCGGGATCCAGAGCCTTGCATCCTTCGGGCACGAAGAGCTTCTTCCTGGGAACGCGAAGGGCGGTGGCTGCCACTCTCAAGCGGCGGATTTTCACCGCCGCGTCTTGGAGGCGGTCCGTTCATCGGTCGGCGAGTGGCCTGCTGTTTTGCTCGGTCGTTGGAAGCATCATCGAGAGTCATGGAGTTCTGTTTAATGGCAAGTTAATATCAGTGCAAGAAATCATCGTCCATCGAGAATTAACCATTCCCTGCATGTTTGAGGCAGTGGGAGAAAGATATCGACTGAAGTACATACAAAAATTTCCTCGGCCGAAAGAGACTTAGAGTCTGAGTGAGACGACATCGCACCAGGTGACCTAAGAGGCTGTGACAATAAATCAACCGGTGGCTGATCGAGAAATGGATTTCGAGATAAAGGTCGTGCTGGGGGGTCGTCAAAGGGAGAGGCGGGTTTGCTGGGGAAAAGAAGGTCGGCACTGGCTGGAGACGGTGCGCGGTTGCGGAAAGGGTTATTAGAAGATAAGTTGAGTGTGAGACCAGGAGATTGGCCAGAACTGGTGTGGCCTGTTTCCAAGAAAACTTATCAGCTGGGTGCCAGATAAACGGGCGCATGCATGCAATGACGACGACAGATGGACCAAGATGAAACAGACAATCTCCTTAGCATGACACAAGATGGATGCCAGCCAAGTGGACCGACCAGCAAGATTCTGGTGATTGTTGCGCCAAGTTGACTTGCGATCCATTCAACATTGCAGTTGATCCAGTCTCCTTTGTTTACAAGATTCCAAGCGCCGAGCTTTGGCAACTATCGGACGCGAATCCCGGTGAAAACAGAAGGGGAAACTTTGGGAATGGGGTGGTGGTCGCAGATCACATTAAAGCGAAATCAAGGGGCGGGCGCTTACCGGACTGAAAAGACTGAGCAGTAGACATGATTGCAAAGGGGTCAAGCTTGGGCTTGTGTTTCTGATTTGAAGATCCAGGAGAGAATGCGGAGCCAATCGACGTAGAATAACAGAGGAAACGGCAGCCGTTGCAACGCCAGGTAAAACAATGCGTTACGTGTGTCGTATAAAAGATAGGAATAGAGCCCGGGCTTGCGCAAACAAGGACGAAGGCAACTTCGCCAAGAGGTGAAAGTCAAAGAGCTGGCCGTGGTAAAATACGTAGGTCGGGATGGATTAAATTCCTCTGTCCTGAAAGCTCAGACCCAGCGTCATACCAAGTCAATAAGAGTACGGTACGCCACTCAAACGCGATTCGAATCCCCGTTCTGCGGTTCAACTTTCAACTTTGTTCAGGCACCTGGTGGGTCAATAGCTCTGGGGTGAAGTGGCCTTCGTGGTGCCTAAGGGCCAAGGGCTCGGAAAGGGGCTGGCTGGCCTGAGAAAGTAGTGCGATCGTCTTAGCGGCAGATGCCCCTGGGTTGAAGTTCTTAATGAATTGTTAGGTTCAAGAAGGATCGATTATATGAGGCCGGGAGGTTAATTGATATGGTAATCTCCAGTGCAAAGATGGAATGGGTCCTTGCCCAACGTATTTTGCAAAGCTAAGTGCCTGAAATCAACAAAATGCTGATGAAGGTTGTTCAATTTTCAGGTGCTTGGCCTCGGGGTCGAGTTTGGCGACTCGTCGATAGGCCCGTTAGCGGGGCAGGTCAATGCTCACGGCTGTCGAACTTGGGCAGGGGCCTTCAAAGGCGGGACTGGCAGGGGTCGTTGACCACTGGGTCGTACACGATGGTGCCAGGCAGGGTTAGAGGACAATAAGAAGATATAATCAGGGTCCAGAAAGAATCGCTTTTCAGGCAGTATCGTGGGTTTTTTGTCCTGTAAACAGGATATCCAGGTGTTTGCAATGAGAAAGACAAAGTAGCTGTATTTGTTGAGCTGTGCTTTATGGTGACAGCGGAGCGATGATGGGCTATTGTTGGTAAAAAGGTTGCTCCGTCGGCTGATAGAATCCAAATGTGAATTGGCCTTGAGATTGAGATCAGTGGTTCCGGGGTCAAGCTTCGGAAAGGCTCAGCAGCGACAGAGGCGTGTGAAGTATAGAAGATGGACGTAGGACGATGGATACTGCGTGAGCGATATGCTGCCTTAATTCGGTTTTGTTGAAGAGTTTGTTGCGTTGCCAGGGTTCGTGAGGTTCTCGGTGCTGTATAACAGTGGTGCTATGATGAAAGGAGTGGGTTGCCAATCTCTACCTGAGTTGTAATGGCCGTGTCAGTGAATGGGGTGATGGAGGAGGAGGAGGAAAGGAAGAAGAAAGGAGCGCTCGAGGCAACTGAGAGCCACAAGCCAGAGAAGTGAACGTTGTGTGGAATTGAGGGTGAAAGAAGATCAAAAACGTTCAACGGAGAGGGAGAAAGATGGAGGCATGAGGAGCCTGCTGAGAAGCTCGGCTGGGTAAGTACGGACCAGAACGAATGAGGAAATCCCAGGTCTAGGGTATAAGATGCCTAGGTACCTAGGTAGGTAGCTCTACAGTATGTACGTTTGGGCTGCTGAAGCCAAGTCGGTGAAGGCGGTCAGAAGGGAAGGAATCAGTTGTTTCTACATACAGGCTGGCAGCCAAGGTAAGGTTATAGCACCTAGAGGTACTACTAGGTAGTTAAGGTACTAAGTTAGTTACCTTGGCGCATCAGATTTTGGGGTAGAGACAACGGGAGCTGGGGAGGAAGTACGTAACTCAGAGCCAGTCTTGTCAACCTTGGCTGAGCTGAATCGAGCTTGGTCCAGATTCCGATCAAAAGTAAGGTACATGTAGGTAGGTACCTAGGTACTTACCTACAAGGTCTGACTTGAACTACGGACATTTGTGCCTGTGGCTGTGATTTATTAACATTTCCCTGCCCAGTCTTGCATCGTCCAGTCTGAGACTTTGCAACAGCCTTATTTCAACGGCACCCGACAATTACA